AGAAGCATAATCACAATTTTAAGACTTCTGATTCTCAAAAGTAGTATGTGAAAGCAAAAAACTGGCCACAGACAGTCATTTACCTAAAGACTTTAAGCAAACAAAGCTATTCTCCAGAGCAAAAATTACATCAATGCTATTAACTTTGAGGAGCAATGTACAATCACTTTTATCAAACTTGAGGCTTAAAAGAAAAGCAGTGAGAAGGAGAAAAGTGCAAGGCAGTGCCCAAAAATGCAAAAACTGTTTAGTGTGTGCTTACAAGACCAGCAAGCCAATTAGCCTAATATTAATGCAAGAGGTTTTTCCAATTCTGTCCCTGAAATCTATCAAAATTAAATAACATCAGGAAGAAATGGGTGGAGAAAAAACAAATATTGATTCACATATCACTTAATTCTTTGTGTGTTAAAACAGAAAATCAAGGAGAGAGGGATTTAAAAACACACAAACCCCTCTAAGGTTGGTAGTTGAAATCCCCTAGCCACTCCAGCCAAGAAAGTAGAGCAGTCTCCCTTCATAAAGATTTCCAGCCTCATACAGCTGGTTTTAGGGTGCAGAGTGTCATTATAATTGAGTAGGACTGGATTTGACAGCAGTGGGTTTGGTTTTTTTTGTTTTCACACATTCACCACTCCCCACCCCACCCCCACCTCCCGCCTTCATTCCCCTAGATTGTTAGATGGGACAAGAAAGTGTAAGGAGGTAAAAAAGAAAAACCAAAACCCCCCACTTGAGTTAACGCTGTCAACCTGAGTTTGTAGCTCCTTCGTTCCTAAACAGCAATCCTTCATCAAACTATTTCTATATGGAAACATTTTTTAATTAAGAGTTTATCTTTTTTAATTAAGATTTTAATGGAAGTTTATAGAGAACATGGACTTCCATTCATTCACTGTTGCACATTTTCCTCCCTGCCCCCACCCCCAATTTGCTTTTCTCTGGGACAAAAAATTTCTTTGTTATACAGCTCCCTTCCCCTCAGTCCACTTTACTATGCAGTTCTTATTCTAGACTCTTGTCACGCTAATAATACCTAATCATATATTCCTTTCAGAGTTCTCTCCCTTGTCTGTTTCAATGTGGTGTACATTATTTATCTCCTTTTTTAGTTTCCTCCCAACCCCCATGTCAGTCCTGTTTTTTAGGGGTATTTTTATTTTATTATTTTTTGTGCTTGTACCGCCAAATCAGACCTGACTGGTACAGAAGGAGATTGCTCATCCATCTCCAGCAGAGCACCCAGTGGATTCGAACAGCCTACCCCTCGGATTGCAATGTGTCAGTCCTGTTTTTTAACAGTGCAGTATTTGTCCTTTTGTGACTGAGATATTTCACTCAGCATAATGTCCTCCATGGTCACCGATTTTGTATATTTCTATATTTCATGAGTTCATTGTTTTTTAGTGCTGCATAATATTCCACTGTATGATTATACCACAGTTTCCCTTGTCATTTGTTTGTTGAAGGGCACTTGGGTTGTTTCCAACTCTTTGCTACTGTGAACAAAGCCGCAATAAACATGGGTGTGCATATATCTGCTTGGGTGGCAGTTCTGGTTTCTTTAGGGTATATTCCCAGTAGTGCAATTGCTGGGTCAAATGGTATTTCTATTTGCAACTTTCTGAGAAAGTGCCATACTGCCTTCCATAGTGGTTGCACCATTCTACACTCCCACCAACAGTGAATAAGGGTTCCAGTTTCTCCACAACCTCGCCAGCATTTGTTGTTTGCTGCTCTGTTGAATTTTGCTATTGTTACTGGGGTCGTATGAGAAAACTTTTAAAAGGCCATACATCAAGATATATGGCTGTAATGTTCTATAGAGTCTAAGAAATAATAATAATAATTATCTATACTTTCAAAAGAATTAAAAGAGAACATGAACTGTAATAATGATTTAGGAAAGAAAACAAAAGAAACAGGGTGTAGAGAAAACTCTAAGTATAAAATTAAATTGCAGTATGTATTGTAGAGTGATTTTATGTATTTTTCTTTTATGAAGCTGGAATTAAAACTTTTTATTTTGTATTCTATATTGCACTATCTTGTTCTCTTTACACAATGACATTTTTCATTATGAAATCTATATAGTTTTGTACTATAATAAAATCAAGACACTTATACAAAGTGACACTTGTGGATTGAATTGGGTACACATGCAGATTGATACAGGCATCATTAGTAAGCATGGTAACCCTTCACCTCAGTTTTCAGTTTATTCCAGTTGTGGTTGCTTTGCAGATGGCTGTTATGTTTCACTTTAGCGACATTTTGTGGGTACTAGAGAGAACTTTCATTTACCAAGAATAATCTCCTAGGGAGCTCTGGTGGCCTAGTCGCAAGAAGCTGCACTGCAATCTCAGAGGCGCATGGTTTGAATCCACCAGATGCTCTGCTGGAGGAGGGGCAGTCTCCTCCTGTACCAGTCAGATCTGATTTGACGGTACACACAAACAAAAATAATGAAATAAAATTAAAAAAAAGAAAAAAAAAGAATAATCTCCTGAGATGCAATGTCAAACAGTAGAATAGCGTAGTCTAACTCCATGAAGTCATTTCTTTGCACTTGTTTGACAATTTGAATTTTTACCATTTTATGCTACGTATTTTCAGCACAATTCTGCTGTTATATAACCACAGGCAACCTAGGCTAAATGTTGGTTTCATTTCTGAAGATGCATTTCCAAAATAGTCTGGACTATTTTGTGCTTCTAGTGGTACCTTCGTGGATTTAAGTCTTTGATAAAATGCATTATCTTCTTTAGCTGGGTTCTTCTCAATTTTTCCTTCAAATGTGAAGTTGACTTCTGGTACAATATCTTGTCCAATTGCAGTTCACTGTAACCTATTTTTCAGTAATTTCTTCCACAGAAAATTTAAGGCAATTCTTATGTCCTGTTCTTGGAAAATCCTCCATGCCAGCTTGTTTGACTGTCTGTATAAGAAACACCTTTTGGGGGGAGGGCCGCTTGCTCGTAGCTGATGCAGTTCTTGGCCACTAGGGCCAACATGGAGGCCAAATAGTAGGTCAGTGGGATTTTTATTCCTGGGGAGCTGTGGCTGGGAGACTGTGGGCTGCTCAGATGTAACAGGACACAGCAGGGCGCTGTGCATATATCCTGTTTGTGGTTTGATCAAGCACACTATTTTGTATATTCTGACACAAGAAAGTTATAATACTTTATATCATTGGGAAAAGTCATTAAGAGACTGAGTTAGGTGGAGATTTTTGTCTGTATACCTTTTGTACCATTTTTAATCTTTATTCAAAATAAAAACATAAAAAAATCATTACATTTGCTTATATCCAACTCAGGAGAATTCACTGAATTAAAAAAACTAATGCAATTAAACACACACTAGAAGCAGAGGCTGGATACTCCTGAAAAGAGTCAATGATATAGAAAAAATAGCCTTGAGAAAAATCAGATGACATTTAAAAAAAATAATTACAGGAAAAAGAGACATGAAAAAAGAGAAATAAAGCAAAATTACTGTTCCTCAAACTAAAAAAAAAACACCAAAAAAAAAACCAGTTTTATGCAGAAGACACAACCTTGCTTATAGAAATGGAAGAGGAACTTGAAGCATTTACTGAAGATCAAAGACTATATATAAAGCCTTCAGTATGGATGATACCTAAACATAAAGAAAATAATAATCTTCATAACCACACTAATATGAAACATGATAGACGGAGGTAAAAAACGATGTTGTCAGTGACTTCCTTTTACTTGGATACACAATCAATATCATAGAAACAGCAGTCAAGAAATCAAAAGACATGAACAAGAATGTCCTAAGGGGTGCCTGATTCAAGTCACAGTATTTTCAATTGCTTTCATATGCATGTCAAAGTTGGAAGATGAAAAGAAAGACGGAAGAAGAATTGATTCCTCTGAATTGTGGTGTTGGTGAATAGTACTGACATATCAAAAAAGAACAAATCTATGTTGGAAGAATTCTAGCCAGGCTGCTCCTTTGAGGTAAGAATGGGGAGACGTTCTCTTACATACTTTGGCCATGTTGCCATGGGGGACCACTCCAAGCCTGGAAATGTGGAGAGGCAAGGAGAGGAAGACTCAATGAGCTGGACTGCCAAGTTGCCATAAAAGTGGGCTTAAGGGAAGTGGAGATTATGAGGATGATGCAGGACTGGTTGATTTTGGATCTGCTGTACACAGGGTGGATATGAGATGGATGTGACTTAAGAGCACCACCACTAACAATGTCTCGAAGGACTTGATTAGAACCAATGAAAGAGAAAAAAATGTAAAAATGAACAAAAAGACTTGGGTCTATCCCCTCATCAAATAATGAATGAATAAATAAAAAACCTGACACAGAACGACCTTCAAGAATAACAGGTCTATAGTATATTCAAATCAAAACACCAACTTCATCTACAAAAGGGGAAAAGGAGTATGGCCTCAGATTTCTCCACTGCAACACTCAATACCAGAAGACAATTAGACTAGGTAACAAAGTTCTGAGAGTAAAAATGAGAAAACAATCGTATACTCAGTCATGTTGTTATTTATGTTTAAAGTCCAAAGTAAGTAGGAGCCTGAGTGTATGCACATTTGATTATGTGTAAAACAGGTATGTAATAATAGATTCATTATATGGGACGTGGGTTCAGAGACAAAGAAGAAATTTTATGCTTAACTTGGTATCTTTCTGAGTGGTCTGAGCCTTGAAATGTTACAGCAATTTTTATTCAAATGAAGGGGGGGGGAGTAAAAAACATAATGAAAGGTTGAGAATAAGGAAAAAAAAATAACGTGAAGAGTCGAAGAGTCATAACAAAGAAATTAAGCAAAAAACACATACTGATTTAGAGATGAGCGGACGAACAGTCTAACAGGAATATATGATTAGGCATTATACGTATGATGACAATCTGGAACAAGTGGTGCACTCCAAAGTGGACTGGGGAAGGGAGGAAAATGTGCAACAATGAATGAATTACAAAACAAATAAAAAACACCACATACTGTTTTAGAAAGTTCACTTCCAGATTCCATAATGCGCAAACACAAAGGGATAATCTCTGTTGTCAGTAAAAAGTTGATTACTTCTTGCTCATCTGTTTTCACCAAAGCCCCTAAAGAAAACAAAACAAAAAGGTTCCTTTTAGAGAAAGAATTTGTAATTAAAATTACTTTGTACTGCTTGTCATGCTCCTTGAGAAATTTGTAAGACACAGGACACAAATGAAATTGTACCAATCTAAAAAACACATTCCAGTGGACATAAACCAGTATTATCTCCTGATTATTCAATTGCCCCTTTTCCTAAAGAACATAATTACAAACAAAAAGAAACACACTTCGATTTGACTACTGGTTCTGCAGCTAATTTAGTAAATTTGATAAAGTTGCTTTTCTTTCGTATGCCTCTGCTTAAAAAATAAAGAATTGGAACAGATGATTTCTAAAATTCACTACAATCCTATTATTCTGTGGGTTGTTAGTCTCTTAACAGCACTACTACGCTATTAATTCAAGTGCCTGATATAGCCCAATGGTATCTTCTCCATTCCATAGTGAAGTTGGGCCCCATTAAACAATGAGTCAATCTAATGCATTACCAGCTTTTATGGGAAAAGTCTTCGTTACCTGAACTTAAAAGAACTAAATTAAATTCACTTAGGAGAGAGTAATAGAATTTGCCTTAATTATAATTGGCACTTTATAATGATATTCAAAGAATGAAGGGGGAAAGAAGTCAAAAGCATGAAGAGAGGCTGAGAATAAGGGGGGAAAAATCTGATTCATGAGAAAGAGCTTAAGAGTCATAACAACATAGAAATTAAGCAAAGAACATATACTTAGAGAGAGAGAAGGGTTTAGAGAGAGGGGAAGAACAGTCTAAAATCATAATAGCCAATATGTAATATAATTTGTTAATACAACGTAATTATCTTATTATTTCTTTTAGATGTTTCATGTATAATCCATTTGGAGTTGATTTTTGTAAAGGGTGTGTATGTACGGATTGTGGATCATTGTCTATATGGCCAAATGTTTCAGTACCACTTATTAGAAAAATAACCCTTTCCCTAAAAGTCAGATTGTACTTTTGACAAATACAATTAATTTTTGTACTTGTCAAAAGTTAATTGACCATGTACATATTACATATGGGTTTATTTCGGGAGTATCCATTGTGCTCCACCGGTATACATGGTCCTTTCTCTAACACAACACTGAGAATGTTTTAATTTTTTCCCCATTGTTATACATTTTCTTACCCCTTCCCTGCCCCTAGCCTCACTATCTTTACTACTATAGTTTCCCAGCAGGTCTAGAAATCAGGTAGCTTATGTCTTCTTTCATCCTCTTTTAGAACGTCTACATAGTCTAGTTCTTTCACTTCTAATACACATTTTATAATCAGGATATCAACATCAACAATAAAAAATCATGTCAGAATTTTGTTAAAATTGCTCTCAATCAATGGATTAGTTTGAGGAGTACTCACATCCATGCTCAGTCATTCAATCAGTGAACAGAATGCATCTCTGTATATATTTGGGTCTCTTGATTTCTTTCACCAGTGTTTTTGTCGTTTCAGCTACAGATCTGTACAAACATTCATGTTTTTCCTACATATTTTGGACTTATTAGCAGATTAACTGTTAGAATGCTAACTGAAAGATCAGTAGTTTGAACCCATTAGGATTCTTGGGGATAAAGACGAAGCAGTCTCCTATTCAGACTCACAGCCTCAGAAATTCAACTGGAAATCAACCTGATGGTAGTGGGCTTAGGTTTTTTAAGGTTTGCTATTATAAATGGTAGTCATTGAAAATTTTAATTCCTAGTTGGTGATTAAGAGTGCTCTGATGTCCCAGTGGTAAAGAAGTTGCACTGCCAATCCTAAGGCACATGGTTCAAATCCCCTAGCTGTGCCACAGGAGAAAAATAGCAATCTCCCATGTGATCTACTGCCTCTGGAAACCCGCTGAAAGGTCAGCTATAGGTAGGTTCTGACTTGCATACAGTAACAACAACAGTAACAACAACAACTGTTTATTAATGAGCCACAGTGCCATAGTACATAACATTTATCAGGCTACTATACAAAAGGTCAACAGTTTGAATCCATCAGCTGCTCTATGGGAGAAAGATGGGCAGTTTTTCTCAAAGATTTACAAACTCCAAATCCTGATGGAGAGTCACAAAGAGTCGGAACTGACTCAGGGTCAGCGGGAATTGTTTATTGCTAGTGTATAGGAGATCTGAGTGTTGCACTGCCAATCCCAAAGGAAGGTGGTATGAGCTCACCAGCTGTTCATAGAAGGACAGGCAATCTCCTTTCATGTGATTTACAGCCTCTGAAAAACTGCTGGTGGGTCAGCTATGGGCTGCATTAAACTTGAGGACAATGAGTTAAGTATACAGAAATATGTTTGTGCTGCTTTGTTTTGGTTATTTGTTTGTTTGTGTTTTTTTTTTTTTAAAGTTGACTTGTATCATGTAACCTTGCTAAATTTACTAATATGTTCTAGTCGGTTTTGTGTATTCTTCGGGGTTTTCTGTGCCAGTCAAGTTGTCTGTGAATTGTTGTTGCTGTGTGCCATCAAGTTAAAAATGACTCACAGGTGACCCCTCCAGCAGTCTTTATAAAATGCTTTCTTTCATTCCTGATATTTTTAATTATGGCTTCTTTTTTCCATGATTAGAGGTTTATCAATTTAATTCATTTTTTTTTTAAAAAAGTTTTTATTTTGTTGATTTTATCTACTACTGTTCAGAACGAAATTAATTCATTTGTTCTCTTTACTATTTCCTTTCTTCTATTTGCATTGGCCTAGTCCTATTGCAGTCACTGAAAAAGGAAAAAACCCAGAAATAGAATGATTGGGTCAAAGTTAAGGATAAAATTGTTTCCTTTGGCTGGAATCATGCTGACATTTTAAACCTAATGTAACAAACTGTACAGCTTAAAAGCAAAAAAGTTTGTATTGGAAAAATGTCTAACCAGAACAGAGAAATATGAAAAAAATCTGGAGTATATAACAATGATACATCCTTAAAAGTAAAATAGATCTGCAAACGTTTCGGAAATGTCAAATTTTCAATTTTCCTTCCTGATTTATGATTAAGAATCACGGAATGGAAACATAATTTGGGCATAAAAATAATAATCCAATAATATAAACCTTATATAATGAATTTTTTAATTGTTCAATACCTCAACAAAAAAGCATGAGAAAGAAACATCAAAAATAGAAGGGTGATTTGAAACAGAAACTTTCTTAGTCTGTCAAAATACAGTTTTTTACTACTCAGGAGCCTTGAGGTCTGAAATGACTAATTTGTTACTCTCTTAAATAAAATGTGTGCCTTAGACACACTCCTCATAGTAAATGTCTATAGCAACAATAACTTGAGAATAAAAAGATTTAACTAAGTAAAAGGGCAAAATGTAAACCATGGTAGTTAGGGAGAAGATATTTAGAAGGAAAAAGGATAGATTACATATGTGCTGATTGAAATCTCAAATTCTGTTAAGTGCCATCGAGTCGAGTATGACTTATAGCAAGCCTATGAACAAAAGATCTATCCTAAAAAAAAAAAAAAAGATCTATCCTGCACCATCCTTACATTCCCTGACACACAGAGCCCACTGCTGCAGTCTCCTGTCAATCTTCCTAGTTGAGGGTCTTCCTCTCCTCTGCTGGCCCTCCACCCTTCCCAGCATCAATCATGTTCTTTTCCAAGGAAAATAGCCCCTCCTAGCAACATGCCCAAACAGCCTTATTTAATCTCTACAACCTTCATTAACAAAATATGGTGCTTGATAAGAACCACCATGTTCCTGATGCACGTTAGTGAAAATATGCTTAACCTCAGAGACAAAAATTAACAAAAGCTGTAAGAAATAATATTGAACACTTAATCTAGACATATACAATCATGAATCATAATTTCAGGTTTAAGAACACAATCTTTTTAAACTTACCAATAACTCCAAGGCTGGTTAGCCGAAGATACTCAAAAGGACGCGTCTTGCTGACAGTGTGCAAAAAGGGGTACAAAAAGAGGGGGATGTGTGCTGCAAGAAATGCTGACCTGGAATAATAAGAAGAAAATCAATTACAGTGCCTAGAATTAATTTCTAATTACCTCGAATATTTACATTTCTGAGTGGTTAATTCTGTAGGGAGCTCTGGTGGCTTAGTGGTAAGGAACTGTGCTGCCAAGGCAAAGGTACACAGGTTGAATTCAACAGCTGCTCTGCAGGAAAAGGATGGGCAACCTCCTGCTGTGCAATTTACTGCTTTGAAGACCTGCTGAAGGGTAAACTATGTGTCAGTTCTGATTTGACAATACTCAAAACCAAATTCTGTAAGGCCTATAAAACTGTTAAAACAAAAAATCTGTAGGAAAAATGCTGCTTATCATTAGTCCAGACCAGTGGTTCTCAGGTGACAGTCAGTGGGTAAATGAGGAATTCTGTTCCTTTAGGGGCACATGGCAATCAATGTATGAAGACATTTTTGATTGTCATAACTGAGGGTGTTGCTACTGGGATCTAGTGGGTAAAGATCAAGTATGCTACTAAACATTTTGCTATGCACTAATCAGCCTCCCTGTCCTCATTTGCTCACAAGAAAACTTATTCAAAATAGTAAGGTGTAGTTGAAAAACCCAGGTTTCAGTCAATGGTTAATAGAAATGCGATTATTCTGTAATCAGCACCATGTAACCTCAAACTGCCAAGTACAGATTTTAAAAACATGTCATACAAAGTTATTAACTGCTTAATAGATATTTCCAAGGGAGCTCTGGTGGCCTAGTGGCAAGAAGCTGCCTTGCAATCTGAAGGCACGCAATTCAAACCCATCAGATGCTCTGCTGGAAAAGGAGGGGCAATCTCCTGTGCCAGTTAGTTCTGATTCGATGGTAAACAACAATAATAAAGATATTTCCAGATTCCTTCATCTAATTTATAACTAAGTAACAGTGATAGGTACATATAAACACAGCTTTATAAACAATAAAACAAAGCCATTATTATCAAGTTTATTTGCTATGTTGAAATGAGCATTCTTCTTTTTAGTCTGATATACTAAGCATTCTAAATTCACTTTAAATTGTAGCATATTCTGGGTAACAGGTGTGGAAATTGATTATACTATAATTGTACCAACACTCAAGATTTTTTTTTAATTTTTTAAAATTATTATGTGTGTGTGTGTGTGTGTGTGTGTGTGTACACACACACCATCAAATCGGATCTGACTGGTACAGGAGGAGATTGTCCCTCCTTTCCCGGCAGAGCATCTGGTGGATCTGAACCGTGCGCTCTGGGACTGCAGTGCAGCTTCTTGCCACCAGAGCTCCCCTAACACCCAAGATTTTTAACGAATCAAAAGAACTCTTGTATTTTTCTTATGCAATTAAAAATAATTTTATTGGTAACTTCTCAAGTTATGGAAAGGCATTTGGGTCTTTTGTTCATAGAGTCACGCTCGACTCGACAGCAATCAGCAACAACTTCTCAAAAGCTCAGAAAGGCTAGTGGAAGCCCTGTGCAGTTTTTACAAGGAAATTTAACAGAAGAAAGCCTTTAGTGCTTTAAAAGCCACATGCTACCTTCCTGAACAGGATGGCAAAATCATTTTTCAACTGCAATGTCAATTCTTATCCATTACTGAGGCTATCTAGTATCCTGTGTTAAGGTTCCATAAGCCAAACCTGGTTTAAGAGAAAAGTGCTGCATTAAAGTAGTTACTGAACTCTTATTGTCATTCATTGTGCCCTAGACATGGTATAGTGATGTCTACCATGCATTTAAGAGGAAGCAGTTGTAGCCTGGAACATAATTACCTTTTCTGAAATGTGAACACAGAGCCTTTAAAATTCATTACTATGAGTAAGTAAAAGAGAATTAGGAGTGTCAATGAGACATACACACGAACCTAAAAACCCCTCTTCTTATCTGTCACTCTGACAAATTTAGAAACAAATCTAAATCTCACTCCAAGTACTTACCTGGTTTCTGGGTGTGATGCCACACACTGCAATAATGCCAGAGCATTGCAAACTCTGTTTGACTGGTGTGCTGTCAAGGTGGGTGGATTGATAGATGGATAAATATTTACAATTTCCTAGGAGATGAATAAGAAACACATTATTAGTAATTTACTCCCAAACTTAATGCAAAACCTAAAAAAAAAAAAAAGAAAGAAATAAAGAAAGGTTTGATCCTATAAACCATTATTGTGGAATGAGTATAAGGATCTATGAGGGGTGGAAGAGGTTGGAAGCAGATGGATGAGGATGTGCAGGGAGAGGGGTGTTAATCATGGGATTGTACAATTTGGTGGGTTGGGGGGGGGCCTGAGGGAAATGGAAAGAATTTGTTCTTGAAAACAATGTATTCAAATTTTGTAAATAAACTAAGTAGAAAATTTTTTAAAAAAAGAACTGGGCCTACCCTTTTATCGTAAGCATACCTGAGTAAGATTAATAAGCCAGGCCATTTCTTGATGTGCCTTTAGGAAGATTTCTATGGAGGTTATGTTCACCTATATTTATATCCTGCATCTATTTAGGCTTCACTTGAGACCTATTTCACTCCTTTTGTCAGCATTTTTAAGTTATACTAGTGAAATGATTATCCATAAAGTGTTAGTAACTAGGTCAACCATAACTCTCAAAAAACACCTGACTGCCACTGAGTTAGAACCGACCCACAGCTGACCCTCAAGTGGGTTTTCAGAGGTTGTAAACTGCTTGGGAGGAGACTGCTCATTTTCCTCTCTTGGAGCAGCTGGTGGATTTGAACTGCCTGCATTTGGGTTAGCAGTGTAACTCCTTACCTTCTAGGGCATCAGAGTTTCCTGGTCAAGCATTATTATTTTTATGTGCCAGAGTCAGATCTCACCCACAGATGAATCTCCAGCAGGTTTTCAGAGACAGTAAATCGCATGGGAAGACTGCTCATCTTTCTCCCATGGTGTAGCTGGTGGATTCAAACAGCTTGCCTTTGGACTGCCAACATAGCTCCTTACCACTAGGTTACCAGAAGCTCATAAATGTCATGATTTGGGGGCTGTACCATATAGCTTTCCCACCACCATTGGTAACTACAGTTAGATTCAAGTTCCAGATAATTATTTAATACGCAAGTGTATACATCTTTAATATGCTGTTAAATCTTTACACTAATATTTTCCTTCCCTAGAAATATACCCTATAATCTTTACACCTTATTTTCTATTTTATTCTCTTCGTGTTATGTTCAATCACCTTGCAGTACTTTTAAACCAGTTTGTCTCAAGACCACTTCAACAGGGAGATATTAGTGAAAAATACAGACCTAAGGGCCCACCCAGAAAATAAATGAAGGTTCTTGGATAGGATCCTAGAATCTCCAGTTTAACAAGCACTTTAGATTCTTCTAAAACAGGCTCTTATAAATGCTAACATTTAAAGATTACCCTGCTAATAACTTCAGAATTATTTGGACAAAGAGAGATGCATAGATAAAAAATAAGACGAACAGGACTGAACTGCCACTAATTACCCACCTGTAGAAGTGCTGCAATAGTACCAAATGAATGCCACAGCATGGGTGCAAGGTCAGGAACAGATTCTCGCTTCTTACTCAGTTCCAGCAGAGCATTTTCCCTTGTCTCAGGACTGGACAGCTCATTGATCCACTGATAGATCTTTTCTCTGTCCACTTGAGCCAATGCTGTAGGCACAGGCTTTAAGGCGAAAATAAGAAAGTGTACACGTAAGTTTAAAATCAGGTCTTATCAAAATATTGCCATAAGATTTTTACATAAACTTGGATGTAAACTAATTTCATCTCTTTGGTAGTAATCTACCAAAATCTAAAAATGTACATACCCTATAACAATTGTATATCTAGGAATTTATCTCATAGGCATAAATGAATTGTACTGAAGACATACACTATTGCACTGTTCTAAAAGCAGAAAATGTAAAATAATAAACTGCTATCAATAAGCAATTGGTTAAATATATTTGTGTATTTTATAACAAAATACCATGTACTTTTAAAAAATGAAATAGTATTACATGCAATACTAGATAGTATTATTGATACAAAAGGAAAAATGTGTGTACAGAATAGTACATATAATGTGCTTTCATTAATACAATACATATATTCTTATATTCATAAACACGTCTAAAAAGACATGAGTTAACAGTAGCTACCTCTAAAGTAGTGAATCTAGGAGGTTTACTTTTTAATATCTACAGTAAAACCTCCTGCATGAACTTTATAAAGAAAACAAAATAAACAAAACCCAAATAGTTTACCTGTCTCATCTGCTGCTATTCTCCCCCAAGGAATTCTACCCATCTCCTCCAATGGGAAGAAAATTTATGTCATCTGGAAAAGCTCCTTTTCCTAATGATTCTTTTATGTATCACATTTCTACTCCTATTCACTATTTACTCAAATATGGACAGAGAGTAACAGCATGATTTCTCAATATTGTGCTAAGAAACCACAATATTCCCATAAAACTTGAGCATATCTATAATATATAGCTTCTCAAAGGAATGATACGCTCCTAATATACCCTGGAGTGAGAAGAATGTGGAGAAACAAAAAGGGTAACTGTCATTCTGAAGAGCAGAGTGAAACCTACCAGGGACTCATATTTACCCAATTTGAACAACAGTCTTCTATAAATGGAAAATTAATTATAAGCTTTTAGCTTATGTTTTTATCATCTCACTTGCTTGACAGAGTGAATCAGAAAATGTTCTACTTAATGGACTGGATTATTATACATTTTAAGCCTTAGAGTGATCCTAAAAGCTGTTTTGTAACCTCTATCAATGAATGATGTTCCTTAAAGGAATCAAAAGCTCCTAAAACAAGAAAGTAAAAGGCAGGGTGGTTTTTCTCCCTTGGAGCTGTGGCTTTCTTGGAACTTCAGTTGTGAGAGTTAGGAATGTCAGGTAGGCAGTAATGTGGACCATGGCGGGTACTAGGTAAGTACTGTGCATACTGTAACCATATCAGCAATAGAAGGACATGCTTGGAAGATAGCCAAGGTCGTTTGATGTCAAGATGCAAACTTACTGCTGCTGAGTGACTGCTATGATTCTTCATTGGATTTCTAGGCTGTAAATCTTTAAAAAGGAAGCTCTGGTGGCTTTAGCCTGTAGGGAATTTCCCTGCTAACCTACAGGTCATAGCTCTCTGAAGGTTTGAATCCAGCAGGAGCTCTGTGAGAAAGATGAACAATCTCTTCCTATATGCCACATACCACCTCAGAGACCAAATGGAGGATCAGATGCTGTTAAGTTGGTTGGAACTCAACTTGTGGTATGAATCTACTAGTGGCTCTGCAAGCAAAGATGGGTAGTTTCTTCTGGTTAAGATTTACTTATTATTGTTAAATCAGTACTGACTCATATTTGACCCTCCATCAGTTTCCAAGGCTTTAAATCAAGCGAGAGATTACCCCTTCCTTCTCCTTTAGAGCCTCTGGTGGATCCAAACCGTAAGAGTGGCATGGCCTTTGTGTTAGCAGTGCTAATGCCACAGACTACACCACGAGGACACATCACTATGGCAAAGAAAACAACTCATAGCTGAACCTCCAGTTTGTTTCTGAGGCTGTAAATCACAGTCTCATCTTTCTCCCAAGGAGCTACTGGTAGATTCCAACAATCTGAGAAGTGTAGTCTTTAGTTCAAATAGAACATGCTTACTCTGTGTCAATCCCTGTCCTAAATAAATCCTGATTATCATCACTCTCATTTCATCAATGAGGGAACTAAGGTACAGACAAATTACTTAAAATAGAGTTCATGTTTTTCACCACTTTGCTAAGGTGACTTTCTAATGATCAATTTTTTACTTACAGTGCAAAGGGAGCTCTGGGAATGTAATCGAGTATGGAGTTGCACTGCTATCCAAAGGCCATGCCTCTTATGGTCTGAATTGAGTCACACTGTTAACTTGAAGGTGGCACCTCTATTGTTTGAATTCACCAGTAGCTCCACAGGAGAAAGGTGGGCAATCTGTCCCCATGTGATTTACAGTCCCTGAAACCCTGCTGGAGGATATGACTCAACAACAATGAGTTTTTTAGTTCAACTATCAACAGAGAGCCCTGGTTGTGTAGAGTGGTATTTTTTCCTGGCCATTTGAACCCACCAGTGGTTCCTATGTGATTACAGCCTCTGAAAACCTGATGAGGATCGGCTATGAGTTGGTTCTGAATCTATGTCAATGAGTTTGAGTAACAGCTATTATTTTAATAGGTAATGGTCTAACATTAGCCATGTCAAAGCATGATGGACAATGCAATTGTTCAATTATACAAAGACTCATCATTATTTTGGAAAACAATGGGAAAGATATTTTAAGTTAGGCTTGGAATCATATATTAATTTAATCCAAAACATTTAACTCTAGAATTTAATGAAATCTTGATAGCTGTTTCTGAATCCCAATGGATTTTTTCCTTAAGAAAGTACATTTTTCACCAAAAGAGAATTACCTAAAATTTAATGTCTTACTAAATGGGGACAGGAAGTGAAATAGAGAATGAGAGTGGCTAGGGTAGAGAGGAAAGTATGTTGCGTTGGTTAAAAAAAAAAAAAATAAATTACTAATTAAGATGGTTTCATTGAATGATCACATAATGGTTATTACCTTCATATTACAATGACTAAAACTACTGGTAAAACTTCCTATCAACTCCATTCTCTATTTAAAGACTAACTGTAAAGATTTTTAGTTCAATTTTACTACACCTGTTTTGATAATTCACTAACACATTTCAGAGGATAAGGCTGATATGGAAAAGGCTACTCAATCCAGTAGCACATACTACACAGTGTCAGATAAATTCATCCATGACCTTCCTATTGAAGACTACCTGACATAGAACTGCTTTCCCCTCAAAAATACATGTATGTCATGACTTCACTTGGAAGTCATGCCCAAGATTTTATAAACCAAATAGCTGAAAAGGATTAGGACAGAATACAACATTCCTTAATCTCATCCTAGCTTCAACTGTATATTGGGAGGTCTGGTGGCCTAGTGAGAAAGAGCTGTGCTGCTAACTCAAAAGACACCCAGTTAAAATCCACCAACCGCTCTGCAGGGAAAGAGGGGCAATCCCCCCCTGTGATTTACTGCCTTTCACCCTCTGAAATGTTAAAAGGCTCAGGTATGCGTCTCTTTCAAATCAGTGACACAACAGCTTTATAACGCAGTAATAGTCAAACAACACAGTAACAAAATAATAGACCATTCACAAAATAGCCTTAGTTGCTGCTAGCCCAAAGGCCAGACTTCTCTCCCAATTTAAACCCATTAGTTGCTCAGAGAAAGAAGGACTATCTCCTCTCTTGGTATTTACACCTTTGGAAACGGGCTGGAGTTTCAGCTAGAAGACAGTTCAACAGTATAGCAACGAGAGATCTAGAGATAAAAGGAGAAAACCCAGTTGTTGTTAGTTGCCACCGCGCCAAATAAGACTCAGAGAATTCTACAATAACAGATCTAAACCCTGTCCCATCCTATGCCATCCTTACAATCTCATACATTTGAGCGCATTGCAGCAGTCACTATGTCAATCCATCTGGTTGAAGATCTTTCTCTCCTTTACCTTTCCAAGGAATAGCCTCTTCTAGAAACATGCCCAAAGTATGTAAGATGAAGCTTTGTCATCCTTGCCTCCACAGAGCACTCTGGATTCAACTTCTCCAAGACGTATATGTACATCCATGGGATATTCACTACTCTTTTCCAACACCACCGTTCAAAGGTATCAATTCTGTCATCCTTAGTGGTTGTTCAGCTCTTATAGCAAGTGAATGAAAAGACCATGGCTTGTATGAGGTACATCTTAGTCTTCAAACTAACACCACTGATTCTCAATAATTTGGAGACGTCTCTGACTGCAGAGCGCAGTATGTGTCCTGATCTCCTGACCGCTGGTACCAAGTATACTGATTGTGGATTCAAGTAAGAAGTTGTTGACAGTTTCAATGTGTCCTCTATTACGATGTTGCCTATTGGTCCAGTGGGGAAAATTTTTGTTTTCTTGATGTTAAGATGTAATCCATATTGAAGGATGTAGTGTTAGATCTTCGGCAGCAAGTGCTTCAAGTCTTTCTCACGTTCAGCAAGCCATATGGTATCATCTGCATACTGAAGGTTATTGATGAGTCTTCCTCCAGTCCTAATGTCATGTTCTTCATACAGTCTGGGTTTTGGCAAGCTTTTTTTGTATATTTCTGTTTTTAACGTTATAGACTGCTGACGTGAACATTTCTGTTGCAAGAAGTGTTTCAACATTGGAAACCATGTATTCCCTCTGTAATCCACATAAAATATGGAACACTTCATGAATGTGAGTGTTATCCTTGTGCAGGGGCCATGCTAACCTTCACAATATTGTTCCAAATTTAGTGTACTGCCAAAGCACTCTTTATATAGTGTTCTCGAACAATATATTCAGCATATAGATTAAGTAGGTATGGAGAAAAGATACAATCCTGATGCAAGTCTTTCTTAATTTTAAACCATGTAGTGTTCTCTTGCTCTGCTTGCATAGGAGCGTCTTATTTTGAGAAAAAGGGACAGGATAGAGTAGGTTTAAGTACATAGAGTTGCTAGGAGTCACAAGCAACTCTACAGCATATAAGAACAAAACCAACCAGAAATAATTGTCAGGAGTAAAGCATGTATTTTTGGACC